CCGTAATGAGCGCATGAGAGGTGGCGCCCGCGGCCGTGGAGGTCATTCTGCCGTGAACGGAGCTGGCCATTCGCAATCTCAGTTTAACCAGGGCTCCAACGGATACAACTACCCGAGCAATGGAAATGTACGACAACCTAGCCATCCATACACTAACGGCTACGTGCAAATGCCATACGGAGGCGCATATCCAGCCCAGGCAACCGGAAGCCAACACCGCAGTCGGCCCAGCTCGGGGAGCAATCGCGCACAGCACGCTAGACACCCATCTTCGAGAGCTTCCTCTTACCCAGCAATCGGCATGCCGTACGAATCCCCGGCGTATCCGCACGGCAACGGCCCGTACAATGGATACACAGACCCCAATCACATATTAAATGGAGTATTATCACAAGTTGAGTACTACTTCTCTATCGACAACCTCTGCAAGGATACGTACCTTCGAATGTGCATGGATTCTCAAGGATTTGTACCCTTGGGCGTCATAGCTTCCTTCAAGCGAATGCAAGAAATAGCCGATTATCAGATAATTCGCATAGCCTGTGACACTTCTCCCCTGATCGAGTTTATCGTAACGGAAGACGGGCAAGACAAGATACGGCGCCGCGAGAACTGGGAGCAGTGGGTCCTAGAGATGGGAACGCGATTCCCAACCGCCCAGAATGACGGACCAACGAGTTACCGTCCCTTCAACAGCCAGATGCTGTATTGGTCCCAGATGATGCCATATGGGGGCGAAGTGCCTCCCATGTTCTCACCAACTAATGCGGATGCTCATTTCGCACCTTACCTTTATGGAAATGGCGTAGCCTCCCCAACGAGCAACGGGATCAATGGCCATACTCGTCCCTCGGATTCCCAACTTTCTGCAACAGTCCCAGAGTTCTCCCCAATCGGTAATCGCCCAATGAGCACAGCGAGCCAGCAAGGCGAGGCCCTGCCGGCGTCCTCTGGCAATGGCCTAGTGTCAGACAACGCCGACCGAAAGACCACAACTTTGCCTTTTGGTGAACAAGTCGGTTCTCTCCCTAATGGCTCTCACAGCCCTAGAAGGGAAGAGCAGGCTAGCATAAGTGACAAAACGATCACAAATGGCACTAGTGCTAGTCACGAAACCGAGGCATAATTATAAAGATGATCCATGAGGCTTAGATACCTAAGTCATATTACGTTCCTAAGACAGGCGTCTACCTTACTCGATTCTAGCGTTATGATGAATCACCAAATGATGAAGTTTATGCGGCGCTTCGACATCTCACGGGTCTTGTACAACGTTGCCAGCCTATGGACTGGTAAATCATGTTTCTTGACCTGGACCATTTGAATTTTTATTGTCCTTCTAGTTTCGGCTCTCGCTTATAGAGCCGAAACGGCGGTATTCTACAATTTCGGTGGAATTTCTTGGTGCGGTTAGTGGGCGGATACCCATTTACCAATGATGATCGATTACTTTCAATGAAACCTCCTGGATACGTCTGAATAAGATGCGCTGTGAGTCCTACCAATTCATGGACTTGTGGCCAATGGACTTACCACGTTGGCGATTACGAACGGTTAGTATGCAGCACATGGTGGATGTCCGACTCCCAGGAAGCCCTTACACCTCCAAAATGAAAGGGTTACGAAGCCATATATCTCTACGGTCTACTAATGTGGGTTATCACATTAACGAGAAGAGATTGATTCCACCTCGTTGATGACAATTCGAGCCAACCATCTCGGTCATAGTAGACTTGGCATCGCAATTACTTTTTTTTTCTCTTACGTTTTTTTACTACAAAGCAACCTACCTGCCACGAATAATAGTGGCCTTTGCATCAGGGGATTATCACCACAAGCATTTCCTCTTGGTGGCACAGAAAACGGATTCTACCAAGAACCAAATCTAGGTGGTGATTGCGATCAATGCGATTCTTTCAGTCCTTCCTTCGGTTACTCGTCTCTGCGGATTCGTTGGCCCTTAGACACCTCCGCGCTCGCGGAGGTTAGCATCTCGCTGCTAGACAAAAGTATTGAGCACTGATTTTTTTTTCTTTTCTCGCAATTGCATTTGCGGCGTGGATTGTTCGCATAAGGGGAAGGCCTCACGGAAAGGGGAAGTTTTGCAAATAGACTTCGACGTCATAAAAGGAGAAACAAAAAGGTCTTTCTCTCTTGTTATGGGGTTTATATTATGTATGAGTAGGAAAGTACAAAACAAAAACAAAACGCAACGGAACTTTGAGATATCTGAGTGCTGTATCTAGGTGCTCCGAACCATCTTTTTCCCGCGTCAATTTCATCGCCTATGACCATTTATATCGCCGCCTTGTCCTATTTCGTCATCGCTACTTAAAAGATACCTAGAGAGCTACGATAGAGATCAGCTTTACCCTAAAGGAACTATGCTAATCCTCAGGAACCTCGACTCTGTGAGCACAGTATATATTCTGATTTCTTTGTTTCTTACGGATGGCTGGTGTGTGTCTGTTTCTATCTATATATGCAGATTGGCGGCAAACACCGCCTTATCACCACTACTTTGCGGTTCATTGCTCAGATATATCAACTATATATATATATATATTGCACTTCGCGCGTACATACCAAACATGATTATTATATATACCTATATACGTATTCTATGCTCTCCTTACACCGGGATAATAAGGGGTTCGGTGATGATGATAAGCTACCTTGCCACTTTGACTATGATCTAGAAGGCGTATCTGACGAAATAGGTATGTTATCCGTGATATAGATAGCGGTAAGTATCTAAAAGGGGTAGGAATCGAACTACCTAACACTTAATCTGGTCGTGGAATATATTAAGACGTAGTTAGCATCCTACATGTTAACATATAACTATGTGAAACTTTCCCTTATGTGTGGTCTTGATTGGAGATTCTGTACGTGAATAATTTAATCGTGCAGTCGCTGTCTTCACCCGCGACGTAGGGTAGGTACTTACAAACTCAAACTTGGCGAGCACGACGATGTTTGGTATTTGGTTTTAGAATTACTTAGTTGACGGCAGTGGGTCGACGCGTATAGGTGCCTGGAAGTAGAAGTAGAAGTTCCTCGTGGGCTCCGGTGGTAGTTCCCTGAAATCTAGTATAGATGTGGTACTTCGTATGGCCGGGCGGAAAGGAAGAGCAGTCCCGGTGCCCTGTCTTCGTAGACTATATACTATAATCTATCGAGTCATCAAAAGGTAACTCCGCAGGAGTGTCCCGTACCCCGTGGCTGGATGCCTGTGCTTCTAAGCCTTCTCGTGCCGGGTTATCCAGCGTGGGTTAAGCTCGGTGTATACTCATACTATTATACATAGAGGAAGCCGCCTAGGAATCAGGGGGTCCCTATCGTAATACACACACACACACACAAAAACTCCAAAGCACATCCCCTTTTTTTTCTCACTTCCTTACCATTTCTCCCAAGTACATCATATACACTAGATTTATTCATGCTAATACATGAAATAGAATCATAGGGTCAAGCCACTAGACTCTTGGGTCCTAGTTCAGGGCGGATATCGTTACACCTATAGCTAGGTAGGAGCAAACGTCTAGTCTAATATCAGACGCGACGCTAGGAACTACTTTATATGATCATCGTTCTATCCTCCCATGCGGGCGGGATTGCTTCAGCCATTCTTCATAATGGCGCTTGGGCTTGTTGGTGACTTACGCAGGTATATCGTATTTGTACCGCGCCGTTAGCTCTCCCCGTCCGTACACCTAACCATATACGCGGATTCCTAGGGTCATTACCATGCGGCGATTCTAGTCAATGAGAAGATGTGATTGGAAGATCGTTATTCCATATATTATGTTGATCCGGTTGATACTTCCGTCCTTTAGTATGTAATCCAAGGCCGTGGCTTGCAAGTCTTCATCGAGTGCTCTCCACGCAAGTATGGTATTGTCCCGATTAACATATAAAAGGGCATGAATAGCTGCAATTTAGATGATGCTCGAATAGCCCTACCTAGTAATATCGGATATGAGAAATGAAGTCGTTGGGACTAAGCTTTCCAGCCCTATACATATGTATATGCTATAGAATAGGTCATAAAGCCCGTATCGCAGATTGTTTTGATGTGGTTGTAAAGTCAGTTAAGAAGACCAGACAGACTCCCATTACTCACTTTCAGATTCTATAAAATTGCTACAAATGAGGCTTCCTTCAATTTTGCCTCTAGCTAGTAACCATTATATTAAATATGATGACGAATATGTTTATATACCATAACACTACTTCTATACCCTCCGCGGGACGAGCCGTTCGTGAAAATCCACAATCCCTTCCAACACCCAACTACCACCTAATGGGTAACCCGTATTAATCGCCTCAGCCACCCGGCGGCCCGAAAGAATTACCAAAACCGGGTCTCCCAGTCACAAGAAAGAAGCTATGTACAAGTGTCAAACACGAAAAACGACGCCGTAATCGCTGTACAGCAATTACGCCTTATATATATTGTGCGACAACAAGTCAATGATACGATGTGCATCTCACCAGAAACCTGTGCTACGGACCGAATATCCTATACTGGCCCTAACTAACGACAATTCTAGGACAGAAAGATAGAAACTCGATAGCATCCGGCCGCCTCACAAGCCATAAGCATCGGATTGCGGCGCTGCGACCGTCCGAAGAGAGGCTAATGGGTGGCTAGAACCGGCAAAGTCAGGCCATATGTAGACGTCATGGGATGATCATGCCATGCAAGGTATATGCACATGTTCTCTACGGCCGGGGAACGTCGTAGCGGGGAAAACAAAGAGCCAAGCCAGCGGACAGCTACTACATACATAGTATAGTACTCAGTAGAGGGAACTTCACAGCTACTATGCACTGTCAGAAGGCGACAGCGACAACTGGAAATACATAAAAAGAGGACCATCGTGACACTTTGTTAACGAGATTGCAACCGTTACAATTACTTCCCTTACTTACATCGGTACCTTACTCATACCGACTTATACCCGCAAATTGGATACTTACTAAGAGTTACCATCGTATCTAGCGAACGCTTCTCATAGGTTCCTGAATATCAATATTCAGCAAGAGAAGCAGTGTACTACCGGATCCAGAAATACCGCAAGAGGGAAAAAGGGAGGGGAAATTATGACCAAGGTGATCCTTTCCATCAATGCGGGGTCGAGCTCCGTCAAGATCTCCGTGTACACGGCTGAGCACCGCGAGCCCCCGAAGCAGCTTGCCGAAGCCCAGATTAGCGGGTTGACGGCGCCACCGGCGCAGCTCTCGTACTCGCGAGGCCATCTACAGGTTCTTGACCACCAGGAGGTAAAAGAAAACGTCAAAGGCCAGGATGACGCTTTCAGAATCCTGCTCGATACCTTCACCGGCGACCAGGAACTGCCCGAATTATCTGCCAAGGGCGACGTATCGGTTGCTTGTCACCGGGTTGTCCACGGAGGCGACTACAAAACTTCTAAGATTATCACGCAAGAGACATACCACCGCCTAGAGCGGCTAACAGACCTGGCACCGCTTCATAATGCCAACTCGCTGCGCATCATCAAGTCATGCATGGGCGAACTGCCCAGCGCCCTCAATGTCGCCTGCTTCGACTCGCAGTTCCACTCGACGCTACCCGCGCACATCTGCACCTATCCGATCGACCAGGAGATCGCTAAGAACAACCAGCTGCGCAAATACGGCTTCCACGGCATCAGCTACTCCTTCATCACCCACTCCGTCGCCAAGTACCTCGGCAAGGACCCGGCGGACCTCAACATCATCGCCCTGCACCTGGGTAGCGGCGCCAGCGCGTGCGCCATCAAGGGCGGCCGCAGCTGGGACACGAGCATGGGCTTAACGCCGCTGGCGGGTCTTCCGGGAGCGACGCGCAGCGGCAGCGTGGACCCGAGCCTGGTGTTCCACTACGCGAGCGATGTGGGTAAACTGTCGCCGTCGTCGACCAAGGAGCTGCACATCTCGGTGGCCGAGGAGATTCTCAACAAGCAGAGCGGGTGGAAGGCCCTGACGGGCACCACCAACTTCGGCAAGATCGCGACCTCGGACCGGCCCGAGTGCCGACTGGCCTTCGACCTGTTCGCGGACCGCGTGAGTGCTTTCGTCGGCTCATACTACGTATCCCTAGCCGGCAAGGTGGACGCGCTGGTCTTCGCGGGCGGTATCGGCGAGAGGAGCGATAAGCTGCGCGCGGCCGTCGCAGGGCAGGCAGCGTGCCTTGGTTTCGGGATCGACCCCACGCTCAACACAACCAAGATCTCGAATGTCGTGCAGGACGTAGGCGCCAAGAACGCCAGGCACCGGACGCTCGTGTGCCGCACAGACGAGCAGTACGAGATGGCAAGGGAGTGCGCCGACAACGACGAGCTGTGGTGAGGCACGTGATAGCTAGCTATCTATTTTCATACACAGACATTACATGCATTGCATATTAGGGAGCCATACGAGGGATGATTTTGGGAACAATCTGGGGTAATGTAATAAGGGAAATAACATGTCAACTTAAAAGAAAGGGGTATATCCAGCTATAGAAATGATCGATGAATCTTCATGCCGTTTTTTTTTAACCTTGCTGTTGACCTGCGACGATTATGACACGAAACACCCTGTTCTCCATCCGGGCTCGGATTCCGATTCCGAGCCCGAGCGCGTTTTAGGGAGACATGTGGCCCGCCCACGTAGGTAGGTACCTAAGGTAGTCAGCAACCGGGGGGAAGAGAACAAGGGTCGGAACACAAGCGAGTGAGGCGAGGCGGGATGTGAAGCTATTCCCGCGAGCGCGACGAATAATTTGCTCAAATCTCGGGATCACCTGTAAGTCAAGCCCACTTCTAAGAAAAGAAATAATCAAAAATTAATTCCCGCCTAAATAAAGAATAAATCCGATGATCGACAGGCACGGGGGACGGGGGGTTAAAAAGGGATGGACCCCCGCCTGTCAGCACCGACGATCGTTCGTAGCAGATCGTTGGGAAAAGTGACTTGTGACGAGACGAGACGACGGGGCGGTGGAGAGTTTCGGGTAGGACTGCGAGCAAGCGAACTAAAACTAGAACTACCGCCTGTAAGGGGGGTGTCGTCTAGTGATTGGATTGGGAGATATTCGAAGGATTTTCTGTTTTCAATTGTGAAGTTTCCAAGGCCAGGCATTGGACGGGGGGAAAGGGGAGGGACTAGAAATTGGCTTGATGGGGAAAGGACATCGGTCTAGGGTAAGATCCGGGGGCATTAGGCGATGACGTACCGATGCAAGATGACGTCGATTGGGAGGGGGGGTAAAGGGGGAAAGGTCCCCCGGGAGCGTAATAATAATGTAGTGCGCTTCCATCCCACTTCCCAAGTTGCGGCCCTCCCTTGCGGACGACGCTACTCCGTAGCCTACCTACATACGTACGGGACGCTCATGCACTCAAACCAAACCAAACCTTCTTTCGCTTGCTCGCCTATCGCTTCCTTCAACCACACGCGTGCCTTGGAGGTGGTTACTAAATTAGCTAGGGTGCTTGACGCTACCGTATGTATGTAATAGTCTCGTTCAAGGACACCTCTCTCTACCTACCTACCTACCTACCTACCTACCTACCTTATATACACCACTTCCACGGGGCGGCAAAGACAGGCTAAACGGCCACTTGCCCAACGGCCGCCCCGTCGGAATGGTACCGAAATATCGTTGTAACACCCTAACCCTACCTTAACCCGCAAATCGGCTGGTAGGCCGGCGCACACCCACGTACCCTTTAATATATATGTGTGACCCTCCCCGCCGATACGCATCTTGTACCTACCTGCCCGGCAAGGAAAAGGAGAAGAAGAAGAAGAAGAAGGAGTTGGATGGATCATCAGGGTCCATGCCAAGATCAGGGACTGATGTTCCTCAACCGAGGCTAGGGCTTACTTTAGTTTAATCTTGGCTTGTTTTGGTACGGTAGAACCCTGGAGATCATCCCGACCCTGATGTGTTGTCAGCGGAAAATAATGACGTTAGGAACTTACTAGGTCAGTCGTATCCCGTAATGAATAGAGTCCGGACCGTTTGCCGGATCGGCGGCAAGGACACTTGGTTATTACAAAGTAATTCATCACCGTAGCAGATCTCGAGACTACTTAACACTTTCGATTAGGCAATTCGTAGCGAGTAAAGGGATTTAATATTTATCATTAAATATTGCGTTTCATTTTCGTATGCCATCCGCCCCTTCTCTGTTCCGGGCGGACGTTGGTATCTAATGCCTAACTCCAACGTCATTTATATATATGTAGTAGACAAAATGCCGCCCGACGGAGTATGTGGACCCTTTACGGCGGGTCTCCGGCGCATTTCCGTGTGCGACTGCTAATCAGCCCCCATGTGTAATATGCAAGAGCACACGTATTCGCCCTCGCTGGTGTTTATACAACTGCTCCATCATCATTTTCCAATCAAGTAAAAAAAACCGGGGGCGACAAGCCAATTGGCCCAGGTTATCGTGTTGTGAGCAGAGAGAAAGCGTGAGAAGCACTCCATGCTGCTCGAATGCTTTTCCCAGCCGTCTGTCAAAGATGCAAAGTAAAAATGGTGCGCCTATCGTATGCGTGCCACCGTGGTATCAAATAATGCCGTCGTGAACTGTTTCCAAATATACCCCCAAACGCCGTGTTATAACGTATTTCCCACCATACCGGTCCCTATCTTACACAGATAGGAACAAAACAAGTCCATTACCCCTTCATTACTAGATGTTGGTCTTAAGTCGGCATATAAAAATAAGAAAGCTTGTGTTGGGGATATCTTAAGCACCCTCTTGGCAAGCGATTGCTGCCAGTGCGTCCAGTCCGCTGCTGGTTCGGGCTGCACCGGGCCGGCCTATAAGTGGGAAGTTGAGACCACGCATATCCCAAGCCCCACCGGGGGAAGGGAGTGAAGCATCGGGACCGTATTGGTCCGAATCCCACATTTGAATTTCGTGAGACGGCGCGCTGCTGTGAGAGCATGACGATTTAGAAGATATCGAGCCACGCTTGGAGGATGAAGATATAGATGAACTCTTAGACTTAGAAGAGCCAGAAGATCTCGACTTGTCCTTAAAGTGAGTTTCAAGGTGCTGCTTCATGTTGTCTGCGCGGGTGAACTTCTTGTGGCAGCCAGGGTACGTGCACTGAACGGCCTTCTCGGCAGTGTGGATCTTAGAGTGACGCGAGGCGTGTCCCGAAGTAGTGAAAGTCTTCTCACAGCCGTGACTATCACGGTACCGGCAGGGGTATCGCTTACCAGTCTTCTCAGGTGCAGCAGAGCTAGCAGAGCTATCATCTTCATATGAATTGGAACGACTGGTTGCAACATAGACAGGACGTTTCATGCCACCTTTCTGGTCAGGAAGGTATTCATCGTAGAGCTGGCGCGACGAATAGTCGTATAGACCAGGTGTTAGTGGCGAGTAGGCATCGTAACTGGCATTGGAGTCGTATGAATCCGAACGGAGGAGTTCTGGGGTGTGGGGCGGCGGCGATTGGTCGCCGGTGGATTGATAGTGGATAGCTGAGTGGTATGACTGATGGCTGGCATATGGATCATCGTTTAAAAGAGAGACCTGACGGCCGGTGGCGTCTCGGGCGTGCATTGTGTCTGTAGGTGTGGGGATAGGGCGCGGAAAGCGGGATAACGGGATAAAGATTCAATTGCAATTGACTGCTTGAACCGTGCTTGTGTTCAAGCCTTGCCTTGCGTCGTTCGGTCTTTTACTATGTAAAATGTATGCGAAGCTCAAACCCCTGTAGTAGGGTAAGGCACAGCCGAGGAAATTGTAATGTGAGCAGACAAAATGTCTTCAATGAATTGTACTCAATCAAGCACACTCTGAACACATAGAAGGTTTCTTGCAGGCGGCAGCTAAAACTGGCACGAGTCGAAAAGACGACGAGACGATTTGAGGTGGGGGGATGGTTTATGGTCTTTGAAAAGAAGTGCGGTTCGGCAGGTTGTATGCGTGTGTGTGTGTGTATGTGTGTGCGGTTAAGCTCAAGCTAGGTTGAACTGGTTTTATTCTAATTCGAAGTATAAGGTGAAGACAATTGTGATAAATAGCTACTAGACGGGAGTATGGCCGACTAGTGCTGTAGCTATTTTTGAGGGGGGTTTTCGTGAACAAAGGTTGGAAGGTGAGGCAAGATTAGAGGAGCTTTTTTCGTGCGAGATACGACGGGAAGTGAGTTGGTTAAAAAGAAACATGGGAAAGGCATGAATCCCATCGAGCTCCCAGCTTCCTCCACATTTCCAGCCAAAAAGGACGAGACTAAAAGGTACAAGAGGTACATTGGTACATTGCACAAAGATTACAGGGATCAGGGGTTCCGCTATATGCTAGCAAGTGGTTCCAAAAAAGCAGAAGGAAGCGGGGGGGCGGTTGCAGACACATGGGACTGAGGCATTGTACCTGACCGAGTCTTGCGAGTATCACAAATGTACCCTTTTCGCATTGGCGTGCTATGTAGTGCCGAAGAACATAACCAAAAAAAAAGATCGCCGTCACCGCTTATTTCCTTACTTACATGTAGCTGTTTAGTTACATCCATTTCTAACCAGTACCGAGTTACGTCGTAAGGCTCTGCTTGTTCAGATATACATGTATATTCGGATATCCCGTACAGATATCCTGCATGAGAACTATTTATCGCGATGGTAAGCCGTGATTCATCATTCTAGAAATATGTGCGTATGCAGGTCGTCCTTATCCAAGACCGTTCTGAAGAATAATTTCTCGTATTACCTATCACTAACTATGTGCATTAGGTATGTACCTAGGCATGTATGAATATTACGCAGTTGGACATGCGCAGAATAGAACTTTACCAAGACGCACCGCAACCTTGACATGAGGCATTTGAGGAGATACTTTTTCCCTTGCTGCCGAATACAACTTAATTTTCTCGGTCAAGGACGAAGACGAGCAGTCATATTTCTGCAAACGCTATTCTAAGCACTTTACATATCGTCGTTATGTCGTTGCGTCGTTGCGTCGTTGCTATGCAGGAAGATTTCTTGTTGATCCGTTCTAGGAAGTGAAGCTTCGACAAAGCCGATCCCGTGGAGTACGATACGTACCTCTTCCATGCAAGGGTAGGTGAAGAAGGTATTTGACGAATTGGACGCCACGGACGAGACGGGTACACTGCGGTGGCTCACCTTGCGTCGCGCGCTGCCAGGCTGCGTACAGATGATCAGCAGGCACGTCTGGATGTTGCATTGCTCGGGTCTTTGCTAGCATATTTCGCTTCACCCAGTGTCTATTTCAGGATGCCAGCACCACCAGACCGGTCGCCCGGGTCCCTGATTCACATTCCAATCTGAGGAGTAACTCGTGCTCCCAGTCTCCATCCAACACCCACTCGCAAGGAGAAGGAGAAACAATGTCCCATAAGGCGGATCTACGCTATTGTTAGGACCGTCTAATTTTTGATGTTGACAGTTGACGTAGGAGGCTATCGAAGATACCTAAGCTAATCTAGCTCTCAGTCTTCCACGTCCGCCTCTTAGGTATATTACTATTTACTGACTATAGCGTAGGACGACATTTAGACACATACTTAAAGCTCTTCTGTTACGTAGGGATGGGTAGGATATATTAGGAGCTAGTAGTGTCCATCTGTTACTATACGTCACGTACGTATAAACGCGGTATGGAGTAGGGTAAGCTTATGAGAGACTATTACTATGTTTGTAGGTACATTGAAAAAATTCGTGCCTTTGCTCTCACCTTACTACATATGTAAAGAATGGGGGTCGTGACTTAGTAGTCCTTTGTCTCGTTATTCGATGATATCTACCAGCATACGATCTACTAGGCTAGATATAATAATATATTTAAGGCCGGAGCAAATGATCCAGAGGAGGAGATAAGACTTAAACGGAAGCCGTCGCTTTCTATTAACTTGGCCAAAAACGGTAAACTTTCAGGGTTCTTAGATAGGTACCCTTGATGCGTCAAGTTCCGATGCATGTAAGTTGTAGTATCGTCGACGTCCTCGACGCCTCAATCTCTTGGTCACATACTACATACTACATAGAAATATAGATCGAAGATTATTTGACAAATCTGCCAAGACGTATGGCGTCGAAGGGAGACAGGGGGGAGCTCGGGGTACATGGAACAAGTAGAGAAGGTACATGTCGGAAACCTTGTGCGACACAGATCATCTAAACTACATTATGGGGCTGGGGGGGTCTATTGACATTATGTCAGCAACGGTGTCAGTATAATTACATAATTACAGGCCCCGATACTATGTCAAGACCATGTCAACAGGTCGATACAATGTCAGCAAGACTTGTTGTACCGATTTCATTGCAGGTACTTACAAGTCAGTACTAATAGATAGTATGTCAAGGTATTTATTATGTCAGAGGTACTGTCTATTTCGCCGTAATTGCCAGGCCTGTTAACGATGTCCAGGTAGCCACTATGTCCACAACGATGTCAGGAATTCAACACGATGTTAGAGATTTAATACAATGTCAGCCCCGGGTGTATACAGGTTAAATAAGGGCCTGGAGTATGCATATATACTGCAATACGGTAAACTTTAATCGTAATCGTAATTCGTAATGACCTCGTAGTGTAATGGTAAAACACGTAGCCTGTAACATCGTAGCCTATAATTCAACGTATTAACATAATCTTTTCAATTAACTTTTACATGTGCCTGTGCCTTGGCTATATATATATAAATATGTTGAAAGCCTTGTATTAGATTACAAGGCCTTCTATTCTTTTTTTTTTTTTTTTTTTTTTAATATTATTAGGCCTTTAGATGGTGACGATGACCTGGCCTGACATAGTCTCGTACGTGACATATGTCGATTAGGTGACCGTGACTACCGTTGGTGACGATGTTTAAAAGGCCACTCTTTCCTAATATATCAGTATTTTAAAATTAATACGATTACAATAAGATATAATCGTATACGTACGGTAGCTATTTCAGACCTGGTTATCCTTATAATCTGGATACAATCACCCCCGGGGATGACTATACCACATGTATTAGCCAATTAGGTGGGGGACTGATTCTTAAGCGGCGCACCGCCGACATTATGTCCACCCCTCAACACCAATGCTGACACTATGTCAATAAACCCCCCCAGCCCCATAATGTATCCATGGTGACAGTTACATGTGCTCCAACGAAGTCCACTAACCCTCGCATGCGTCTCCATCACGGATGACAACTACAATATGCAGAATAAACAACTTTGAAAAAATAAGGTACCATTATTACTTACCATATCAGCTATTGGGTTATCTAGATTTTTATTTGAAAGATTTTTGATAACAAGAGGAGCTCTGGAACTTTAGCACCTGATAGGTAGAGTTAGGGTATGTAAGGTTACTTTGTCATCCGCTTGCCCTTGATGGCATTCTTCTTTTCCCTTTCTGTTTTTTTCAGAATTCGATGCTTTCCTTCAGTCTCCACCCACACCCCACCCCACTTCCCTCCATCTCGATCTTCCCATCCACTCCATAATTTTCTCTCTCGTGTGGACAGTCTGACAGTGGACACAAAGCAGATAGTGTACGCCTGTGCACATTAGCCACATCTAGCTTTACGTCTCACAAAGCGCCAACTCGGCAAGTCTACCCATGCGACATGTATGCGACATGTATTTGATGTGTTGCAGTCCGCTGACTTGTTATTAAGGGGTCCTAATGAGGAGTAATAACCCTTAGCCCTTCCTTGCGCCGTGTGCCGCATGCCGCATGCCGCATGCGGAGGAGAGCAAGACCGGAGCATAAATGACTTATGTATCGGGCTTCCGAATAGCATCCGAGACGTAGTAATGCCGGCAAGGAAAGCGGAAGAAATAAGAGGAAATTCGTGATGTCATGAATAAACGCCCCGGAGTCGAGGTAAGCACAGAGCGGGTCGATGCCAAAGGGAGTGCCCGTGTGCGGTTGTTTCGATAGCCAGCAAATTCTAAGCGATGGGACCCGAGGAAATTTAAGAGCGATCTCGATTTTGGAGGGAGATCGGTCTCCGCCTGATGGAGGGCCGCAAAACTTTAGCAAGGGACTGAATGAAAACGGATAGTTAAGCCCCACATGGAACTTTGGGGGGGGGGGAACTTTTTTTTTCTCAATGTTGTATGCCCTGTCTGGGTCTGGCAGGCTATTATGGGGTTGCTATTATGGTCCCTCTCCCGTTGCCAAGTCCCTGAATATGATACCCTGAGAAATGGACGCTTAGGTACGGTCCCTAGGTATTAAGGGACGAAGCTATGTGCAACGTCCAAAGGAGGCTCAGCGTGGCTTGCTTCGGTACCCCGATAACATGGAACATACCTACATAGGTACCTATGCACATTACCAAATCATACACGCAGACACGGCATTGTCCATTACATAACCCTACGGTACGGCCATAGTGCATATACGGTACACTGCAAGAAGCTTTGCAGTACCTCACTGCAGGAGTAGGGGTTTATTATACTGGGTACTGGCAAACTGGGTATACAACTCTTGGAACTGATCAAAAGTCAGGGTTCATTGACCATGCGCTAACTATGTTTGAGCCTTCTTACACAGCCTACCCCTCCCTATGTAGTTATGCATGTACTCGCTGACCTTCTCGAGTCTTTGAGTTCCCTTCTCGCGATAGTCCTATTGTACCTACATTTCATAGTACCCATGTATACCGAAGGGAAGCGCATCGGCACGATTAGAACAAGGACGATGCGGGATGCGGATGATAATTAATAAAGAGTACTACCTACCGGAATAGAAGGAGAGTATAATGGAAGACGGCCAGCAATTCCTTCAACCCGCCCTTGAAGCATGCCGGCCTGCAAGCGTAGCAACAAATTTTCTAGGGTTGAG